AGCATGACAAACAAAAGTAATGAGAATACCGTCATTTAAAATCTTGGTTTGCTAACAATGATAATAATGTACAGAACTGTTACTGAACCCAAAAAAAATGAACTGCTTATTTTTTTTTGTGTGTGTACAACAAATGAATAATTAAATAGAGTTTACTCGTTTATTATTGTAACAAATTTTTTTTAATAAAAAAATGTGACAAAACGAATAATTGTGGGAAAGAAATATGGTTAATTATGTACACTGTAAAAAAAATCATAGATTTTGTTGGGAAAAATCGGGTGAGTATAATGGTATAGTACATCAGTAATTGTTTGTTTAGATTTTTTTTATTCGGCGAAATGTACATAGCGTTTGGGTTTTTTACAGCTCTGCCTGAGCGCGTTAAGCAAGTAGGTTTGATACTCAGTTTTTCTTCCATGTCTGCTGTAGTGGTGGTTGCTGGACGGGGTTGGTTCAGTGAAGTAGTATGTTCTTTGTCGTGCTGTGCTTCGTAGAAAGCAGGCTTTATTCTATCGATAGCAATAGTCTCTTTCTTTCCACACTTGTTGATTATGAAGTGTTTGGTCGTTCTTTTAATTACTTGATATGGTCCTTCATAAGGTTGTTTCAATGGCTTTTTAACAGCATCAACTCGAACAAAGACAAATTTGCATGTTTCTAGATTTCTGTTGAGTTGTATTCGATTGTTATGTTCACGAGGCGGTATGGCTTTGATTCGTTGCATGGTTTGCAGCAGTTGGCTAGCAAAACGACTTGGGTCCGTTGGTGTTAAAGTGTTTGGGTCCACTAGTTGACCTGGTAATGTAAGGGTTGTACCGTAAACTAGCTCAGCGGCTGTACAACCTATATCTTCCTTTATAGTTGAACGGATACCCAGGAGTACAAGTGGTAATGCGTCACTCCATTTTGTCGTATCATCTTGTGCCATCAGCGAGCTTTTCAATTGGCGGTGAAATCTTTCGACCAAGCCGTTAGCTGCTGGGTGGTAGGCTGTTGTTTTGATGTGGTTCACGCCCAGAAGTCTTGTGAATTCCTGAAATAAGATAGACTTTTTTTTTTTTTTTTGGTCGGTAGTGACGATAGAAGGTACTCCGTAATTCGCTATCCAACGGTCAAGGAATACGCCGGCTACTGTTTCTGCAGAAGTATCAGCAATAGGGCATGCTATGGCCCATCTTGTGAACCTGTCCACCGCAGTGAGAATGTGCGTGAATGAATTAGATGGTGGCAATGGACCAACTATGTCTAAGTGGATATGTTGAAAACGTTTTTCCGGCAGGGGATACTTGCCAACTGGACTGATCGTGTGCTTCTGAATCTTGCTGCGTTGACACTGTAGGCAGCTTCGCGTCCATCGTTTTATATCTGAATTGATTTTTGGCCACACAAAACGCTCAGTAACCAATTTGATTGTGGCTCTGATTCCTGGGTGAGAAAGGTCATGCAGTTGACGAAATACCTGTCGACGACATGCTAGTGGTACGAAAGGGCGATTGTTACCCGTTGAAACATCGCAAATGATAGATGTATTTGAGAAAGGGATGGGTACTGGTTTAAGGTTCAAGTTAGACTTCTCCTGGCAGACCTTCAAATCTGCATCGTCCACTTGTAGTTTTGCGATGGTTTCTAGATCGATGTCTTGTTTACGTAACAGGGTATTTACGTCCTTACGTGACAATGCGTCAGCTACGACGTTGGTATTTCCTTTGACAAATTGGATATCTGTCGTAAACTGGGAGATGTAATCCAGTTGTCGTGCTTCGCGAGGTGAATGTCGGTCGTACGATGTGTGGAATGAGTAACATAAAGGTTTGTGATCGGTCATGATGGTGAAAGTTCGTCCTTGTAGTAAGAAGTTAAAGTGTTTAACGGCTAAGTAGATAGCAAGTAACTCCCGTCCAAAAGTACTATAGCGTTCCTGGGCTGGTGACAGTCTTTTGGAGAAAAACGCTATGGGAGTAGTCATATTGTTTACCTGTTGTTGTAATACTGCCCCGACGGCTTTCTGAGATGCATCCGTACACAGAATTAAGTGGGTTGTGGGGTCAGTATTTAGATGTTGTAGCATGGTGGCATTAGCTATCATCGACTTTGCTTTTTCAAACGCTGTTTTGGCATCAAGAGATAGGTTGAATGTTTGATTCTTCTCTCTCTTCGTACCTTTTTTGTCGGCTTTCAACAGATCGGTTAATGGCTGTAATACTTCAGCACAACGTGGTAAGAAGCGGCGATAAAAATTACACATACCGAGGAAGCGTCGTAATGACTTAACCGAGGTTGGTTCGGGGTAGTTAGTAATATCCTCAACTTTCGTCTGAAGTGGTTTGATCCCTTGTGAGTCGATGTAATGTCCCAAAAACTCTAAGGCTGGGACTGCGAATATGCATTTCGAAGGATTGATGACGACGCCATGTTTTTTAAAACGATCAAAAAGGATCTGGACATGTTGGATATGCTCTTCTAAAGATGAGCTTGCAATCAGAACATCGTCGATGTAGGCAAACACGAAATCAAGGCCTCTTGTTACGTTATCCATGAAGCGTTGGAATGTCTGCGCAGCGTTTTTTAATCCGAATGGCATCCTTAGAAACTCAAACAAACCAAAAGGTGTTATTATGGCTGTTTTCTCAATGTCTTCCGGTGCCATTGGAATTTGATGGTATGCGCGCACGAGGTCGAGTTTGGAGAAAATACATTTACCGTGTAGGTTTAATGAAAAATCGTGTATATGCGGAATCGGGTACTTGTCAGGAATGGTTTGATTGTTTAATCGTCGATAGTCACCACACGGACGCCAATCTTGGTCCTTCTTTGGTACCATGTGTAACGGCGAGGCCCAAGGGCTGTTGGATGGTCTGATAATACCAAGTTGCATCATATGTTCGAATTCTCTTTTAGCTACTTGCAACTTGCTTGGTGGTAGTCTCCTCGCCCTGGCGCTAATAGGTGGTCCAGTGGTAGTGATATGGTGTTGTACCAGCTGTGGGTTACCTTCCTTTTGGTAATCTGATTTCGTAATGCACTGGTATTCTGTTAGAATGTCGTTGAAAACGTTGTTCGCAGGCTTCATTATCCGTACACCATGGATTTCACAGTCGTTGGAAGGTGTACCTTCTACCTGTAAACGTGTATTTGCGTCGATTAATCTCTTCTTGGTCATATCTACTAACAAATTGTAGGCACTGAGGAAATCAGCTCCGAGAATGGGTCGTTTGACTTGAGCAACTATGAATACCCATGTGAATCTTCTGCGGAGCCCGAGATCTAATATAAGAGATTGCTCTCCGTAAGTTTTGATAACTGATTCGTTAGCCGCTACTAAGGACAATTTAGTGCTTGTCGTATGTTGTCTGCGTGAGAGATGAAGTGGGATGATGCTGATTTCTGCTCCAGTATCGACTAAGAAGTCTGAGCCAGAAATACGATCCCTGATGTGGAAGAGGCGGCTAACATGTTGGCCAGTAACAGCTGCCGCCATTACTGTCTGGCCGGGCCGTTTCCCTGATTCTCCGTGTCAGACGCAGAAAATGTGCACGGTCGTGTACAACGCCGTGCTTTGGTGCCGTATTTTTGGTGGTACCAACAAACATCAGATGTTCGCTTCGGTGACCGAGACCGTTGTCTAGAAAAAGATCTTCGTCTGGAAGGGGGTCTCGATTGTCTAGCTTGGATGGTTGCTATGGTCGATTGCAGTGACGCCAGCTGGCTCGTTAATTGTGTTAACTGCTTTTGAAAGGAGGCTAAACAGCTAATATCTGTTGGTCCAGGTGGTTGCAATGAGTTCACACAGTGATTGTCGTGGTATACTTCCATCATTTTATCTGCCATGTCGGCTAAGTCATCAAGTGCGACGGATTTCCCTGAAACACTAAGAGTTTGTCTAACGCTGTGTGGTAATCTTTGAAACCACATTTGCTTTAGGAGGGCTTCGTCTAGCTTGTATGGACCGGCGAGTTGTTTCATGTGGCGGAGAAGTTGCGAGGGTCTTCTATCACCCAAGTCACAAGATGTTAACAATTGTTGTAGCCTTTTCTCTTCTGAGACCGTGGTGCGTTGTATAACTGCTGCTTTTATCTTATCATATGGTTCAGATTCTGGCACGTGATCGATTAAATCACCAACTTCAGCGGCAATCTCAATAGGAAGTGCGCCGACTACGTATGCATACTTTGATGCCTGAGATCTTATGCCTCTAGCCATGAATAAAGCCGCAATTTGAGCAAACCAGACTCTGGGATTATTAATACCGTAGTTTGGTAATCTTAACTCTGAGATAGCGTTGATCGAGTTTAAAGCATTATCCTCTGGTTGTGGAGAGTTTAGAAGGTTGGTCGGTGAACTATCTATATCAATACGTTTACCCGGAGAGTTCATAATGACAAAAACAAAAAATGGTGTCGTGCCAAGTTATAATAATAATAATAATAAAATATGTAGATATATATAGTAAATGTCTATAAAAAAAATCGAGGCTCACCAAATAATTGTGGTGGACCAGACAAATATGAACGCAAAAGTATAAACAAAGTTACTAAAGATAAATAGTAATAATAATATATACAGTTAATTGTTACAAATACAATAAAAATTAGGGACGTTACTTAAATTGACCCGACGTTGCGTGTTCTGATTAGGTCCGGTAAGGTAAATCCACAATTATGAATGCTTGATGATTCTGAGCAAGTTGGTGAACTCTATAGTGATATAATCCCACGTAGGATGTGATATATTCCAATTACAGTCTATAAATAACGATAATATTTGATTTAGACTTCAGTTAACTCAATCGCAAATGAAAATAGAACGAGGGATGCGTGAATGGTAATGTATTTGTTAGTCGGCTAGCATATGTCACGCTATGTAGTAGCTCAACGGAAAGTGTGTTCAAGGTCAATGACTAAAACAACACGTACAGTCATTTAATGATGAATGTACATACAGTGAAAAATTGACAAACAAATACAAATAATATTAAAAACTATTTACAAAATAAGGTTGTCAGGTCTATCTCCACAACGACCTTGACCAAGGTTAAAGGGGAATTTTTGGGAAATAGTTGGGGATTTTCTCAGACCTGGGGGAAATTTGAGGTTTGGTGCCATTATCCCGAAATTTCCCCAAAGTTCACTATAGCGGCTTCCCCAAAATTCACCGAAAGTTGTTCAAACGTTTGCCAGATTTGGGAGCTCGGGATGGTCTGCATTATCTGTGTTATTATGATTTACTTGGACGCGTTAAACTATATACACTAGTATTGATTCATTATATCATAAATATTAAGTTCGTTTATTATTTTCTCTACCTTTTTCCTACCTACGACCAATTATTTGAGAGGGATTCTCAAGACGTTTAGGAACAACGAATGATTTACGTCTTACGTTTCAATTTCGACAAGAGGTCCTGGATTACTGGGATTCTCCACTAGAATACGTACTGTCAGTACCTATGTTTGATAAGAAAAAATAAGATCAACTCATCACAATATTACAAATGGCAAGGATTAACATAGGCCACCTGACCTTGTATTTTCACAATTGAATATAAATGTAAAATTTTAGACGTTTCGAACTTCATGGTAATTACAGTTCTCATTGCAACGTGGATTAACTTATCGAGACAGTAATGACTTATTTGAATTTAATTGATATAGTCAATCGAGTTAAAACTGTAACTGGTGGAATATCTCTGAGTGGTGTTCAGGTGATCTTGAGGCAATTCATCTACAAACTAGGATCGAAAGAGGGTTATTAGCTAGTTTGGTGAATAACGATTAGGATTTAGAGTTAAAAGTTAGTGTTCGTGGATTTGAGTTAAGGCTTTTGTCACGGGCTTATAAATGCTGATACCAGACTTCAACTCAAGGAACCAATAAAGGGGAAATATAGCAGACAAAAGCGTAAATAGTGGGGGGGGGTCGATTTTGGGCGAAAAGTAAACAACTCAGCGACATAAAGAGGAAAATCGACATTTTTTCTCCCTCTGACATGAGAAAAAGCAGACATTTAGGTACGTTTCCCCATTATTTCCACTTCATTTTCGAATATATTTTCCCCTTTATTTCCGCTATATCGGTTGCTTGTGAAATCGTAGACTTCAGTCCTAAATTCCACATACCAACCACGTCTCATTGCTATTATTTTCATGTCCATCATTGAATTGCCCTTGTAGTTCAGTTTTACCGCAACCACTAACTCTAAATACTACTATATATGTTCATGTTTGGTTAGAAATCTGTGGTGATATTCATCCATAGTGATGTGTAGATAGAAAAGTTAGTTAACCATGTAAAAGGCTGTGCTTGAACAATGTTTTCATGGTTCAAAACAGTTAATCTTCAACTAAAATATCTACCAAAGCGTCATCTTGTAAGCCATTTTTTACAAACTGGATAGTATGTGAACAAGTTATTAAGATCACCCAAGTATATAGGGGAATGTAGACATGTATTAAATAACAGTAGATCATAGTGACAATCTAACTGAAGACCAGCTGCACGTTTTAGAAATGTGGTTTGCAGAAAAACTAAATTTCTTGGGACTCATCATCTTTTCTGAATGCAGTTTCGTTATGGATCAGAGAAGTAGGGTTTATTTGTATTACTTGTTTGTGGTGCACTGTATATGTATGGTTTTGAATTCCTGTGTTCCTTTTTAGTTTGAATTTAAATTCTATGCGAACAGTGATGACAAAGAATTCAAGCGGCATGACATTGTGACGTATTCTAACTTAGTTCAATCACTCACTTTAAGTGATGGTAAGTTGAGTCTGTGTTATCAATGTTTCGCAGGTTACAGAGATGTTTTAAATTTGCGCACAGATTTTCATGCAATCGCAAACGGTTCAAGTAAGTTTACATACATTTTTATAAATTATTACGATCTATTACAAATCTGCTTATATGTGTTTCTGTGTACTGTGTATTTATAATGGTTTTTATTAAGGTAACTCGAAACCAATGTAAATCTAGTAAGCAAACATTTTGTCTTTTACAGTATATTTGACTTGCCTCACTTTCCTAGTGTCTGTTTACATGATTCTATTTAATTTAACTACAGTCAAAAAATAGTATGAGATGCAACAAGCTGACTAAAAATTGTCTCGTTTTAAATATTCTGACAATTTTAATTTATTGCAAAATAACCTCATTTATGCAAAAAGTACAAACAAACGTGCTATTAGATGGTATATATTGTGTCTGACATGTTTTAGACAAAATCATTGGTAAGCTAACGTAAGAAAAATCTTGATGTCAACTAGGCTGACTGCATTCGCTATTTTAACTCTGTAACCGGACTTGTTCTTTGTAGCAGTTTAGTTGCGCTGTGCAGTCACGTTCTGATATCAAAGAAACACTCAATGCTAAACCGAGTTTCACTAAAGCCTATCAGGACGAAATGTCGTCGTAGTAATAATGACTAAAAAGTATCAAACATGGATACCTCTAAATTCTCTTGCACACTTCGAAATTGAATTCAGTAATCTATTAATGGTTCTCGCCTTATCATTGACCCTTATTTGATCTCCAGAAGTCTTTCTCCAAGCTATGTTTTAAAGCTCACAGTATTTGACCCATGTATCAAGTCTAATATGATTGACGTATGCTATCTCCGGAATTTGCATAACTGACTCATGGGTGATCAGTTTAAGCGCCTGGGTAGTTTTGCTATCCATTAAAATGTTATGTGAGTATATGAACATATACTTCCTAGACAGATCACACTGGCCAAAAACATGGTCATTCATCAGCCAATATAAATGATAAGCTCAGCCCTTCCTTTATATGTCTTTGATTTCGTTATTTATTCCTCATGATCCTACTAGTGTAAGTATATTATTAAAACTGAATGCAGAAAAGTTGTTCCTGGGCTCGATTCAGATTGCGGACTCTATGTACAGTTAAATCAAATTAGACAATAGGAGCTCGAAAGAGGGGTATAAACCCTATTTTTCAATTTGAAGCTTTGCATACATTTCCACTAAGTAGATTCCAAATAAAATCCAAGATCAGTTATACTAAAACAATTATAATCTCCTTCAAAGAGCTAAGTACTTTGGTGTAGTGATTATGACGGGTGATTATAATTATAATCACTATGGTGTATATATGATTTATTAAGTAAACTTTACTGTCTGCTTAGGAAGTATATCCTTAATATATTTATGTTCTTCTCCAAGTTATGTTTTGATTTTGTGACTAGTCGAGTGGTGTCCATGAATACTAGGCAGTAGAAGACGTAATACTCAAGTTGTTGTATTGTTGATATGCTCTTTAAGGCGACTCACTTTAATAATTTGGCTTTAAGTATATGGATGACGTATTACAAACTAAACAGGTGTGCTATAACCTGAACTTTCGCTGCTCAATTATAAATATCGATGCAATTGTAAAAGCATAGGTAGGCGCAATTAGCAAAATCATGAACTCAATTTCCAACACTATAGGCCCAATATTCTCAAGTAAACTCCCAACTATTAGGACTGAAGGGACACTAATTTTAGCTGCGAATATACGTATTTTATGGGGAAGTTAAAACTTTTATATACAGATCTCTTTCAGAGATTAGTGGTTGCATTTAGATGATTATAACTTAAAACAAGCTTTGTACTAAACAGATATCAACACTGGGTGGATAGTTTTCACAGTACAGTAAGATAACATACTAAAATATTTAATAACTGAATTTTCAAAGATAAAACTAAATGTTAGACCGGCCGATTATCAAAGTTAATCAACTAGTGATATATCTCTTGGTCGCTCCTTATAGATTCTTTTTTCCCAGAGAACGCAAAAAAGTAAACATGACTAAATTGATATTTAATAATTGTGAGAACTGTACTCTGCTTTAGAAATATTCTTTACATAATCAGTAGCAAACCGATTAGATGATTTTTTACGAGGGTGACTGCTACAGATTAAAATGACTCAAATACCAATCTTATATTCTACTCTAATATTTCATAAGCATCATATCAACCGTGGCAATGCAGAAATGTACTTGATAACTAGGTGGAATAGTATACTTTTCTATGGATGGGCGTTCTGAGAGAGCGAAATTAATTATCTGTGCCCACCAATCCGGTTTTGGCGCCGGACATTCGCTTTTCGTTCTCTCAATTTCGTAAACAATGCCCCCGCCACAAGGCGGTTAGTGGGACTTCTTTCGAAGTAGTTATGTAGTTATAAGAAATTCAAATTGAGCACGATTATGGGCATCTGTCGATTTCATTCCTTGTCAGTTGTCTCCAAACAATGCTTCCACCTTCCAACAAGTTCTTCGTTCTTTTGGATGATTACAACCAATAGTCACCAATTTTGTGGATTTGTGCCGTGTTGTAACGTGAATACCGTCACTTATTTCTAAGCGTGTGCGTTTTGAAAGTGACTTAATATCGAGAATTTATGTCTTATTTGATTGGTTTTTTCCATTAGTCTCTTTTTAGTTTAGAATGGAGTGCGTATAAATAAAGTTACTGAATCAACGTTATCACGGCAACCATATGATGCTTCAAAAGCAACAATGGTCGTCTCGTCTCATTTAACTTAAATGGATGTATTTCAGTAATAGAATGAAGTGTTAAGTTGTTTACTTACCATTTGCAAGGGTATTCATTTTCTCACAAGGATTTTTTTAGGTAATTGACTGTTTTAAAATATATTTAAGTACTTCTAAAATGCTAGACAGTAATAGAATTTATTTATCATTATTCTATTACAGAACTGTGGTACATTGCTGAATCTGTTCTCGATGATTATCTACGCAAACTGCCCAAAAGTGAACTCAATGTATTCGACGCTGTTCACGCACGTGAGGATGTCAAACCCGGCTTCATTGAAGGTGGTTTTACTCTGTGGGATGGCAGCAAGGATCTCGTCGATTACATATCAAAATATTTTTCGGAAAGAATGTGTGGAAAAAACGTCTTAGAACTAGGTTGTGGTTGTGGACTACCAGGTATATTCGCTATCAAGGCTGGTGCCCGCTTAGTTAGGTTCCAAGTAAGCGGGTTGTTTCAAGTCAGCATTGTGTTGGCGTAATATTATAGCCTTATCTTGATAAGAAATATTTGGTCGAGTTGCATAACGTCCTCGGGTTGCGATTTAAATATTGAATGAAAGTATTTTATCATAGGAGTTTTAAAGTTTATTTCCGAAAGTGTCTAGATAAATTATGTCTGATTATTTAACATAAAAGCTCACTAGGAATGGTGAAGTCCTATAGAGTCTGCATTTGGTGAATGTTTTTGTGAAGAGTTTGCCACACTACCACATTTTCTCACCAGTATTTCTACTATTTTCTTTTTTAAGGATTACAATTCCGAAGTTTTAAAGTGCTGGACTATTCCTAACGTCATCATTAATTCAGGATCTCAAAATGATGCTGATAACCACAATGAACACACTCAGTTGGAATTCTACAGCGGGGACTGGTTTCATCTTTCAAAGCTTTGGCAGTCAAGCGCCAATGTGAAGTTTGACTATATCTTTACTAGTGAAACAATTTACCGCACAGACCTATATGAAAGATTGCACAACATACTTGAAACTAGTCTATGTCAATCTGGGATCGTTTTGTTAGCTTGTAAAGCTTCTTACGGACCTGGAGGTAACATTTTTGACTGGTTAACTTATGTCGAGAATCTAGGCGTGTTTCAGACAACTACTTTCAAATTGACAACTTCTGGGGTAATGCGATACATCGTGAAAATGATCAGAGCTTAATTTGTTTCGATCAACTTGTTTTGTATATTCTTTTTGTTCCGACTTAATAAATAAGATAAATGTTGACCGTAATTTCTAGCTGTTTAAATAGTTTGGGAAGCCTAATGTCACGAAATCTTGAATGGCATCTTTGATCTTTGTTTAGTGGGTTTTATATTAGACGAAGATCATGACATAAACACACCGTTTGTTACGGTTTTATCTGTTAATAATATTACGTTTCGTAAATGTAATATTTCGTGTAAATTAAAATTTTAAATCTAGTTTTCACAAATACGTCCAGGTTGCAGCTACATTAGTAATATTCAAACTAAACTGACAAACATAAAAGTAAGTACCAACTCTACTTAAATTACTTTCGTCAGTATAACTTCACTTAGGTGATATAAAAGAGTTATGTCGGACATTGTAGTGTTCAGTATGTGACAAAGGCATTGATTTGTGCACCCAAACAAGATTAGCGAATTGCAAGTCAAACTTACCTGCTTCTTTTTGAGTCACATTTTGGGCATAAGTTTGTCTATATAACAGCTAAGTTTCTACTATAATGATGAGTAATATCAAAGTTGATGAATCACAGCAGCAACCTGCATGATTAACTTTTTAAGCAATAGGCAGAAAATGGTACAACGTTCGGAATGTAACGGGTTTCGTTATGCTCTGATAATCTCTTTTTTATTTGACTTTGGAAAAATCTTGATTTTGTGTTAACTGCCGGAATCCTAGCTTCCTCCAAGTTAACTTATCTATCGGATGAAGTGTTTTACATCTGAGCACAATTAGTTGTATGCCTGCTCAACACCGATAAATAGTCTGAAAACTGTTGAATGTTTTGTGCAAGAACAGTTATAGCTCCATCAGTTCAAAATTATTTTGGGTAAAAATATAAATTATCGTTAACTAAAGCTATCAATTGATTCGGACTTCCTAGTGTAACACCTGCAAACTGAAATGCATGTTTGTAAATACCTTCCGGTTCGTTTAAATTCAGGTGTCATAATCCACACAAACTTCTACCATGTAAATCATACAAACCCATGTATATATCTGTTTAAAATATGCAATTAAGTTTTGGGAAAACATTTCAATTGACGTTTATTTTGTATTACGATGTGATTACGTACAAGTACAAAGTTATTATTACTTATAACCACTTAAACTTCTAATCTAACTAAACATATAGAAAGTTATTTTTAGTGCACTTCAATTACTCATATCGATTAAAGTTGTAAACATATTGATAGAAACCAATTAATCTTCAACCAGTCTGATATTTTCTCATATATGCCTTCCATCTCGAGCATTTTCTATGCATTAAGGTTGTAGCGTGGCGTCGAGTCGAAATTGACTATGAACACCGCTACCAAGAAACACGTGCCATGTTAATCAGAAGGCGAAGGTTGGACGTAACCAAATAAATCCATAAAATCTCCGAGAAGCCAAATATCAGAAGGCAGTTAATGGACCAAATCGAGATGTATTCGCTGGCGATCTCGTGGCATCGAAAAGATACCGAGATCGTGCCAGAATACAAGCTTGGTTACAGAACGTAACCGAATTCGCGCGAAGTTACAATCAAAGGTGTAAGTAAAAGAGTGGAAGCAAAATATAGCTGTCATTAGTACAGTCAAACAAAAGCACACTAAAACAAACACTGGTACAGTTGGTTATAATAATAATTGTTTTTATTAACCCAGTCGTGTTTTCGTGATAAATGTGAGTCACTACAAGGTCGTATATATAATGCCGCCGGAAAATTAGTATGTAACAAAACGTTCTATAGTTGCTACAACCTATGAACTGTATATTTACGGATTCATAAATATTTTATTTGGTGGTTTTATGCAAGCATATATATGAGCAGGCGACAAAAGCCGAAATACATATAATATCACGGACTGTATTCGCAACCAGCTGGTTAAGCTGTGCAACAACACCAGGTCAATAACTACTTATTTATAAGCTGATATGATTGATGTTTGCAGTTGCAACAGAAAGCAGAAATCGTTAATTAATAAACTGAACTGGATTAAAGACATGACTTTAATCCCGATTTCGGTAGTTTTAATAAGATTTAGATATATTTCAGTAAATCTAGAATGACTGGCTACGAGCATTCCATTAAATGACATATTAGAGATGTAGTTTTTCTGTTGGGGACGACATATTCCCAAAATTCATATTTGTAATTTTATCATATCGATTAAATTATCGATTAAATGTTTAAATATTTGAATGGCAGTCAGTTGATGAACTTATCGTTTAAATTTTTAAATAGCAGACAATTGATGACTCATTGATTATTGTTTAAAAATTTCCTATTACAAAATCGATATATATTTGTATAAATACGCTTGACTTGTATGCTTGATCTGATCTGTCTGCCTGACTTGGTGTCTGCTGTTGCTTGTCGAATACACTTTCTACACCTTACCAAGACTTCTTGATCGAGTTAGCTGAGTCGAAGACAACGGACCAGAATAGCCTATTGAGTCTCTGAATCCTGAGCCTTCGTTCCGTTCCGAATAAGTCGAATCAGTAGTATCCTCAAGGTTAACCAAACCTAACATTTTCTTAGAACAGTACATTTGTTATTTGTTGTAAAGAACTTGTTAACAGATAATGTTTGTAAAAAGAACGTGGTATACTGCTTATCACAGCTACGTGTTATGTACCACTCTCTGTCGTCAGTATTAATTTTGTCGTGTAGATATAGTTTGAGATTACTAAAAAAGCCTAGGACGTATCAGTAGCGACGGAGAAAACTACAATGAACATTTCTTTTGGACAGTTTGCAGCCTACATAGAGCATCAAGAGAAACAGTTTTAAAAGTCTCAAACAAGAATCATAGAAATCGTGCAGATGTGTCTGTCTCAGCAAAACCCCTCTTTTGGTGAGTTTGGAATTTACAAGGTTAAACCACACAAAGTTAACGCAATGACAGCGGTAAGCCATCATTCCCATGCTGGTTGTGGCGGTTAGTGCTTCAAAAGATTTTTCCCGTTTCGAAATCATTGTTGTACTACATGTTCTAGAAAAGGTCATTGATAAGTCTTTCAACTGAATGTTTCTAATAGTCAGTCAGTCATTAGCAACGTAGAACTTCGTACGTACGTACATCAGTTCAAGTTGCCATACCACATTAGCACAGAGATGTAGTTGTCGATTCAAATCCCCTAGTGGTAGAGGTAGTAAGAGTATAAGCAGCAATCGGGAAGATTAGGGTTTGGAGATGTTATTTAAGGAGTATAATCCAGTGAAATAAATTTGGAAAGCGGAAAAAAGGGAGAAAAAAAGAGACAAGGAGGAATAAGGAGATCAAAATTTGGGAGAACACAAAGAGTGGATGCACCTGCGCCATTGCAAACGATTTTGAGCCGTGTCATTCAGGGTCTCTAACCATCGGTTGCTATCATCTCGCGGTCCCCAACCAGGTAGTCTACACCTACCGACATGACTAAGTCCACTTGTCAGTGACTTCATGGACATGGGCATATGTAACACGTGTCCCAGCCATCTCAACTGATGAAGTTTCACCACTTCATTAATTGATTTGCCATCCTTAGCTAGTACCCGTTTCCCAACAACAACGCTTCTAATAACTCCGGGCTAAATCCACACGGCAGCTTGAATGTAAGAGAAGAGGTACGAAGGCCGATGATAAGGATTTATTAAATTCCCAAAATAAATCAAAGTGATTTGAAAACACACTACACTTTATATTACTTATTTACGGTTAGATTAACAAACAGATTTGTATTTAACGATAATAATTCAGTAAATTACTGTGTAAGTATATGTCATATTATGCAATTAATCATCTGTAATCCTTCTTAAAATGTTGTTCAATCCATATCACACACGATTGTAAAAAGAAGTTTCATATCCCATTCGCATTCCTATTGATGACGTCATTACTCACTGTGTCAGTCAAAAAGAGAGTCATTTTAAAGCCAGAAAACGCCACTAACAACCGAAAGCATATTCTAGAAGATTCAAACCGCGAACGACCAAGGTAACAATTACCCTTAACCGAACCGGTTCATATAACCGTAGAAAATATGTTTATCTCATGATTAATGGGTATGATGCCCGTATACGGCTCCTAACATCTCGCTTATAAGCAGAAGAATATGAGTTTTGTTAGACCTCAAATATATTCAACTCAACAGTCAGCCCATAGTGCTCCTGATGGAAAGCCAACTGTTGTTGGAGAATTACATTACAGTCATTGAGAGAAACATAACAGAAGAGAGCATGTTGTATATCACTGAACGCCTTGGGACTTGATTGGATCAAGAAACTAAAATCAACAGATCGTCCCATAAACCAAATCTGCAGTTATGTGGAGGCAATGAGAGACTACCACAAAACCCAGCTGGCATACTATTGAGCAGAAAGTATTTGATGACGTTCCTGGAGTGTAAAAGTCGAAAGCTATTCCTACCTCTCGGTTTCGGACGAAGTCATTATTCCGATCCAAAAGACCTGTGCCTTATGCTGTTCTCCCAGTAGTTGAACAATAACTCGGACGACTTCGAGAAATGAGTATTATTGGACCAGTGGACTTCTCAGATTGGACTGCGCCGATAGTGGTAGTTAAGATATCCAACGATAGCGGTCGCTCATGTGCCAATTACTCCAGTGGGCCAAATAAAGTTCTAGAAACTCACCAGTATCATTTACTCTTGCCCGAAGATCTCTTCACCAAGTTGTACGCTTGTGTTTTTTGGAAAGTTGGGTTTCTTAGGAGCTGATGAGTGTAAAGATTCCATCATCAATACAAACAAGGGTCTATTCCAATATAATCGATTGGCCTTTGGAGTCAAGACGGAAGTCGCTATATTCTAACAAATTATGGATACCATGTTACAGGGTATTTCAGGAGCGTGAGCTTATTTGGATGACATCATTATGGAACTACAAAAGAAACTTTACCTAGTGCAGAAACGTGACTTTTATATGCAACAGGTACAATATCTTGGCCTCATAATAGATAAAGGACGACGACCAGATCCAGAAAATATCGATGCTATAAAAACCATGCCTAGACCAACTGAGATTTTTAC